CCTCCTCCTCCTCCTCCTCCTCCTCCTCCTCCTCCTCCTCCTCCTCTTGGGCCTTGCCGGCGGCACCCGCACCCTGAACCCTTGCGGGTATCTAGGACCAGAGCGAAGCAGGGGAAGGAGAGAGGACAGAACGACGAGGATGCAAAGACACGTTCACGGCCACCCGGCTCCCCGAATCCTCGAGCCCACCACGCCCTAAAAGGATAATAAAATAACTACAGTGCCCAGCGCAGGATGTCGGGCGGCATGGCTGGCACAAAACACAGCAAGACGACGAGTGAACCAGGGCGAGCGCAGAGGGGCCCAGGGGCACACAGCAAAATGGACACATGTTATTGCGTGCCGTCTTCCCCCCTCCCCCCACACTTCCCATTGGGGGTCTGTTGACCCGGGTCAATCCAGACCCGGGTCAGTCAGGCCTTGCAAACTGCTGCATGATCCTGCAAGATCCTGCCCCCAAACCCAGGTCAATGCGAAGGATCCTGCAAGATCCTGCAGGATCCTGCACCCAAACCCGGGTCAATGCGACCCTGGCCCTGCAGGATCCTGCAAGATCGGGCGCTCTGGATGACCCCCGTGTGCATTGACCCTCATCTCAAGGCTCTCGATGACAGATTTTCCCACACCTTCCGGGGAATCGACGACTCTTTGTGTCTGTGTCCGTTCCTCCCTCCTACGAGAGGGTCGTGTGGGGGGTGGAGGCGAAGGCCGAGGCCGGCCCAGCGGCCACCCCCCCGGACGGAGAGGCGCGGGGAGATGCTGGGGGGAGGATGGCACGGAGGAGGAGGAGGAGGAGGAGGAGGAGGAGGAGGGCACGGAGGACAAGGGGGATGGGAAGGCCTACAACTACTGGGAGGTCTTCGTCGGAAGGATCAGGGAGAATTGAGCCCCACTGAAGGGATGCTACGTCGGATCAGGCCGCGGATTAAGCGGGATTTAGTGGAACTCAGCCGGATTAAGCGAGGCTAAGCAAGATGGAGCCGGATTCCAGAACAGAGCAAAATCAGGACTTGACTTTCCAGGGGTTGCATCTTAATGAAGGGGCCAGGGACACAAGAATAAACGGACACAACTCAGAAGTCACAGGTTTCCCACTATGTTATCATAGTTCCTAAAGGTTCGTCCTCCCCTCCGCTTCCGAGATATTCCACACTCTCCTGAAAATCAACAATTAACCGAGTGCCCCCGATATTAATCCCCCGGAGATAACAAAGTTCGAGGTTCCGCGGGGACAGTTAACTTTTTGTCCCAGCGAGTCGCATGTACGGATGTACGGATAGCACATCTAGTACCACATAGACAGCACACAGCCAGCACCACGCAGATGCACCACAGAATCCTATAGCTCTGCCACACGTTCGTTACTTGGGAAAGTTGAAATGGCGAGAATCCAATAGCCCTGCCACACGTTCGTGACTTGGGAAAGCTGACGTGGCGAGGATCTCATAGCCCTGCCACACGTTCGTGATGATACTTCTTCTCAACGTAAGAAGATGACAACTTCGATTCGTAACTTTCCCTGGGGATCATGAAGTTCGGCCTCGCCGCCCCTCTCCCCCGACAAAAACTCTGTCATGGCCGGAGATAATCAAGACCAGAGGCTTAAGGGGTGAAGATTGATTTATTATCCGGGGCATAGGGGTTATTGGTGTCGGCGTGATTTTTCCCTCATGAGAGGAGACGGAGGAGGATTGGGAAGCCAGAAAGACACCGATACCGCTACTCCCTGGACCTCCCTCACCCGGGGTCCGTTCTGGCCAGACCTTCGAGGCGAATCCAGACCCCAAAACAGCGAAAACGAAGCATGGGTAGCGGCATCGGTACCTCTTCCTTCTCCGACATTCGGGGGAGGAGTGAGGAGACCGAGGAGGAGGTAGACGACCACGGCGGCGACGACGACGACGACGACGACGACGACGACGACGGCGACGACCGCGGCGACGACGACGACGACGACGACGACGATGACGACGACGATAACGACGACGACGACGACGACGACGACGACGACGACGGCGGCGGCGGTGGCGGCGGCGGCGGCGGCGGCGGACGGAGGTCGAAGGGCTGGATACTTATTCTGGGGACCTTCCTGGAGACTCTCGCTCCACTCGTGCATCGAAGCTGCGTCGAACGTTCGTCGTTGTGACTCGACCCTGAGTCGAACCTGAATCGAACCCGAGTCGAACATTAGCCGAACTTGAGTCGAACTTGAGACGAACTGGAGTCGAACTGGAGTCGAACAGATCCGTTAGGTGGGCCCCAGGAAGGTCCCAGTAACGAACAGCGAAGGAGGGCGGCGGCGGCGGCGAAGGTGGGGAAACCAAAAAATACCAATACCGTTGCTCCCCAGACCTCTCCCGGGGTGCGTCTGCCCAGAATTTCGAAGCGAACCCAGCGGTGGCGACGAGGGCCGCCCAGGAGGCCCAAAAAGGAGAAAACGAGGTAGGGTATAGGTGCATGATGCTCCCATCGTACTTAAGGACCACAACCTCGAAATAATTTCGAGCACCCAGAAAATTATCGAAACGATGTCGATCGAGTATCGTCTCCCAGGGCCCGACACGTGAAAACCTTCAAATTTCGGCACTTTCGTGGTGCTCGAGATTCGTTATGGCGGTCAAGGCTGAAGTAGGTTGGAACATCATAAGTACGGTGGGGGCGTTGGATCAGGAAACCTTCGATGAGGAACCCAGGGTCTGGAAGCCAGTGGACAGCCAAGCGTGGATTGGCCATGGATATCACCGCCGCCCTCATTGAATGAGGAACCCTCCAGGGTCTGAAGCCTCCTGGGCACGTTTCTTAACGAACGCCCCCAACCTACACGTCGTTCATTTCTAATCGTGCTCATCTCTACCCGCGTTTCTAATTCTTCCTGGCCCCCTCGTGGCCAGGAAGGGACCCGGGATAGAACAATTAGAAATGAGAGGACCTTGGCCCCCCAAAAGCTCAAAGAACTTTCGAAGAATTAGACACGAACCATGTGTATAGGTATGGGCACCTGCTCCTCGCCTGGGGGAGGCCCACCTCGAGCCGCCGCCCGTCGCGGCATAACCACCCCCAGCGGCGTGGCCTGGGCCCCACTGGCCGATGTACCCTCCCAGGTGGGGATATAGGCCGTCTCCCTCGGGTCTCGAAGGGTGTAATTATCCCAGCTGGGGGAGCAACTTACAATTTGGTGGGGGCCTCGAAGGGGACGAGGATGGGAATGGGGGGCCGGTTCCTGCGGGCTTCGAATGGTTTAGCCCAACTGGGGGAGCAACTTACTTTGGTGGGGGCCTCCAAGGGGACGAGGCTGGGGAGGGGGGCCGGTTCAACGATACCGACGGAGGGCGGAAATGGTCCCGCACGTGGCTGGCGGAGGAAGACGCGGAGCAGAACGAGGACGAGGACGAGGACGAACGGCGTCGACGAGAACGAGAACGAGGACGAGGACGAGGACGAGGACGAGGAGCGGAGCAAGGCAACAGCGACTAACAGGACGAGGACGGAGGGCGCCGCCCGGCCGCCTCGAGCCGCCGCCCGTCGCGCAGCACCATGAAGCGCGAGGCGTGCGGGCCCAGCAGCCGGCCCACGGCGTCCGCCTCGGAGAAGACCACGAAGCCGAAGCCCTCCCGCACAGAGAGAGGCCGCGGGCCGGGCCCGAGCGCGGGGCTCTTAAGTGACCAGCCTCGAAGGTATCCCTGTCCCTAAGCTGGGCGAGCCAAGAGCGAGGACAATCTCAGGGATGGGCCCTCAAATCCCTAAAATCTCAGGGATAGGCCCTAAAATCCTCAAAAGTGTTTGAGGGCCTATCCCTCAAATCTTAGGGATAGGCCCTCACAAACCGAGGGAATCCTCAAGGTCGGCATCGAGGTGAGGTGATGTCAAACATAGGGATAGGGATATGTTCCAGGCCGGTATTTAAGGGGGCCGACGGCGCGCACGCCACCGAGAGCCGACGCTGCCGCCCCAAAAAAAGTTGGAGCGGGCGGTGTTTTTGCCCGTTCTCTGCCTCCGCGGGCCCTCGCGGGGCCACCGCGGGCCGCCAAAAGACGACTCGCGGGACGAGCGGGCGGTGTTTTTGCCCGTTCTCTGCCTCCGCGGGCCCGCGCGGGGCCTCCGCGGGCCGCCAAAAAAACGGCTCGGGACGAGCGGGCGGCTTTTTTGATTGTTTGCGGCCTCCGCGGGCCCTCGCGGGGCCTCGGGGCCGTCAAAAAACGACTCGGGACGAGCAGACGGTGTTTTTGACCGTTCTCGGCCTCCGCGGGCCCTCGCTGGGCCTCGGGGCCGTCAAAAAACGGCTCGGGACGAAAAGCTGGTCCCCAGGAAGCGGGCCGGACCTCCGGGGCCCAGGCATCGAAAAAATTGGAGCCGCCGGATGTCTGGACACTTCGGTGGCAACTCGTGGGAGTCTCCCATACCAGCTTGTCGGCTCTTGCGAGTCGACGCCAGTCGACGCTGAGTCGACGCCAGTCGACCCTAAATCGACGCCAGTCGACGCGAACCGACGCTGAATCGGCGCCATCTCACGACTCCCAGACGCTAATCGACGCTAGTCGACGCTGAAGACGGAATTTTAAGAGGACACACGAGGCTCCCACGATTTGCCACCGAAGGGGGGGGCCACGCAGGGCAAGAGTTGGCGGCGCGCACACGGGGGTGCCCTGAGATCCTGGCGTTGCGATGCTGTTCGCATGGGACGTTTTCGCCAGGTTTCGGGCCCCAGGACCCTCGTAGATCGATCCAGCTCGAAAAACGGCGCAGAAAGATGGGGTCTAGGGCTCCAGTCGTGATTTCTCACATCTTAATTTTCCGAGACGTCGGATCTCAGGGTAGGGGGAGGGGGAAGGTTTCTTAGAGGGAAGCTGCTTCTCAGAAGGCGCCTGCCTTACATCTACAGACGAGACCCGCGCCTTCCGACAAGCAGGGGTGCTTCAGAAGCCTTCCCCCCTCCCCCTACCCCATTTCTGCGCGTGGCCGCGAGAAGGACACACGCGTGGCAATAGAAGATCAGGAGCAACTATCGAAGGTCCCAAAGCCGTGTTGTGACGGACCGCGCGGTGACCTCAAGATCCCGAGAGACCTCACTGCGCGGTCCGTCACCGAATGGTCTTGAGTCCTCAGAGGCCCCGGTCGCCACAGAAGTCCTCGGAGAACGGCCCGAGTCCCACAACCGTGCGGTAGCCACGCATTCCCGCTGACTCACCACCCAGTGTGGTCACCACACCGTTTGGGGCTCCACGAAACTCCGAGGAGGTCTTCGCAAGAACGGTTAAGTCTTCTTAAGCCCGACTAACGGCTATGAATCCTGTCGAAGCCGCATTGAGCCCAAGACTAAGCCGGATCATGTGGGATTAAGCCTGATACGGAAGAATTGTGCTGGATTTGGCCAGTGTTCGACCACGGATCTACCAGCGCCGATGCTGAACTCAAAGTGGGAGCGAGCCCAGAGGGAAAATGAGAGGGGGCAGGCCCGATCAGAAGGCGGCGGGGCTTTTCCGTCGTCTGAGAAGGCTCTGACAACTCCACGGAAGGCCCGACGCCTCCCGAGCCTTTGAAGGCGAGCGTTTTCATATTCGGCGTTTCGGCCCTGGGCGGAAGGGGGTGGGAGGGGGGGTCTGGCTCTGGACCTCTGCTTAGTGCGGCTGTTCGGAGCAGTGCGTCCATTATGGGGGAGGCCCCACCCGCCCGAAACAGGCGCCCAAAAGCAGCGAAGATCCACTCCATGCAGGGGGGGGGGAGGAGGGGATGCGAGGGCCCGCGCCGATCGGCAAAACAAGGAATAACAAACCATCAAAAGAAGGGCCGCCCCTCCCACCCCCCTTCCCCCCCCCTGGAGTAGATCTTGGCGGTTTGTTTGGCGCCTGCTTCGAGCGGGTGGGGTCTCGCCCAGAGGCCGCACTCTTGCAAACAGGTGCACTAAGCAGAGGTCTGGAGCCAGACCCCCTCTCCCCACACCCCCTTGCCGCCCATGGTCGAAACGCCGAATAAAAAAACGCTCGCCGAATGGCCGCTGGGCCACAACTCGGCTCTCTGGCGGCCTTTCGGGGCGATCCTGGCGGCGGCGGGGTCCACTGAGCACCCTCTGCCTGGGCCCCTGGCGCCTGCGCGGCTTTCCCCAGGGCTCAGTAGGCGACCCGAGGAGGGGGAGGAGGAGGAGGGGGAGGGGGAGGAGGAGGAGGATCTTATATGGGCGTATGAGGAGGGTGAGGAGGAGAGGAGGCAGGAGGGGAGGAGGAGGAGGAAGAGGAGGAGGAGGAGGAGAAGGAGGAGGAGAGGAGAGGGAGGATCCCACGCCACTGAGAGGGAGGAGGAGAGGAGGGAGGAGGAGGCGTAGGAGGCGGGAGAGGAGGAGGAGGGGAGTGTGGAGAGGAAGGCGGAGAGGTGAGGAGGAGGAGGAGAGGAGGAGAAGGAGGGGTGAGGGAGGAGGGGTGAGGGGGAGGCGGAAAAGGAGGAGAGGAGGGAGGAGGAGTGAGGAGGAGGGGAGGAGGAGGGGAGGAGGAGGAGGAGAGGAGGAGTGGAGGAGGAGGAGGAGGAGGAGGAGGAGGATCCCACGGCCACTGAGAGGAGGAGGAGGAGGAGGAGGAGGCGGAGGAGAGGAGGAGGAGGAGGAGGAGAATGGAGGAGGAGGGTGAGGAGGAGGAGGAGGAGGAGGAGGAGGAGGAGGAGGAGGGTGAGGGGGAGGAAGAGGGTGAGGGGGAGGAGGAAAAGGAGGAGGAGGAGGAGGAGGAGGAGGAGGGAGGAGGAGGAGGGAGGAGGTGGAGGAGGAGGTGGAGGAGGAGGAGGAGGAAAGAGGACGGGTCGCCTAAGCCCTTCGAAAAAATACAAACAAACAAAAAAAACAAAAAAAAAACTCCACCCTGGCGGGGCTGGGGCTTCCGATCGGGACCGTTGGATAGCGCGCCGTGGCGGCGGCCCCAGCGACGCTGTGCTCTGCGAGCGGCGAGCGTGCCTCTCCGCCCCGCGGGGCGGGAGGCTCGGAAGAGCTCGAGACGCTGACGCCTGGCGGCCAGGTCGAGACGCTGAGGCCCGGGGAACTGGACGCGGACTGCGCGGTGGGTCAGAGCCGGCGGCGCGACACGCGATCCAACAGTTCTCGAGCGTAGGTGAGGTTGAGACGGCTGGCGACGGTCCCTCTCGTTCTCCGGATCGAGGCTTGGATCCGTTGAAGCTGTTGTCCGTGTCAGGGAATATCGTTCGCTCCGTGTTCGGTGCGGTCCCGTTGTGTAATGGCGATTTCTGTTCTGGGTTGCACTCGTTTTCCCCGTTTGGTTGGCCGAAAAAACAAGGATCCCCCCTAAAACCAATCCCCCAAAAAAGTGTCGACGTTTGTCCCGATGGTTGTCCCGATGGTTTCTCTGATGGTTGTCCCGATGGTTGTGATGATGCTTGCCCTGATGGTTGTCCCGGTGGCTCTGGAGTGTTGCCCCGATGGACTGAAAATGTGATCGGTAGACGAACAGGCAGTGAGACGATGGATCGTGAGCCGATAGAGCCTGGGGAACAAGCTGGAAATCGCAGTGATCTTCATACGGTGGCATGCGCGTGCACATCGTACACGAGGCAACCCGGCGCAGCTCTCTCGCGCGCCGCGCGCACGCAGAGCCGGCATGCGCCAAAAAGTGTTTGCCGGCACGCCGCGACGGCTGGTGCGCGTGGGCGGCGCCCCCCCCCCCGGTGCTCGAAACACAGTGAGGCTCTCCGACCCCTCGGTGACCACTACGCTGAGCGAGTGTCGGATGATGGGTATGTTTTTCGCCACCACCACGAAAGGTTGGAGGGGGAGGGGGTCCTCCTCCTCCTCCTCGTCCTCGTCCTCCTCCTCCTCCTACTCGTCCTCCACCTCCTTCCCCCCTCCAACATATTCTGGTGGTGGTGGAAAACGGGCCCATCATCGGATGGGTCTCACAAGCTGCGTCAACAGCATACATGTACACGCCAGGTGCGCATCGACGGCGGTTTATAAGCGGCACCAGGCTGTTCTCAGAGGATGCCAGAAGTGCCACGAACCCCACGGCGCTGGGCACATCCGCGAGTCTCACTCGGCCTCACAATGCCACGAAAACCTCGGCGCCGATCGCATCCGCGAGTCTCACGCGGTCCCCAGGTGAGACGAAACCATTGGCACTGAGCACATCCGCGCGTCTCACAAGGCCTCACAATACCACGGATATCTCGGCGCCGAGCGCACCCGCACGCCTCGCGCAACCTCACAATGCCACGAAAGCCTCGGAACCGAGCACATCCGCGAGTCTCACGCTGCCTCCTGGTGCCACGAAATCCTCGGCGAAGAGCACACCCGTGCGTCTCACATGACCTCACGGTGCCGCGAAACCCTCGGCGCCGAAGGCATGCGTGCGCCCCGCGAGGTTCCCACAGAGCAGCGAAGCCGACCGTCGCAATCGCTGTCACCGCCACCGCCGCCGCCGCCGTCGTGGCCGTCGCCGCCGACGTCGACGTCGTCGTCGTCTTCGTAGTAGTCGCCAAGCGAACTCACAATCGTCGCAATCGCCGCCGCCGTCGTCCCAGCACGGCCACCCGCAATTCTGCAGTCTGAAAAACCAAGCACGGCGCGGCGCGGCACGGCACGGCACGGCACGGCACGGCACATTTCTCGCAGTATGCAAAC